GTATGCTAAATAATATGCTGCGTATAGCCTTTGTGAGACCGCAGGGCACAGGACGTTGGATTTGTGGTCAGAAATAAGGGAAATTTAAAAAAAGGCAGCCGATGAGTCAAAAACGAAGGACAACAGTTGGTGACCAAAGTGTGAAAATCTCATGTTGACTCATTCAACAGTTATATATCAACAGTTATATATCTAACTGTATGTTCAATGGAAAAGGTGTGTGCTGGATATAATTTAGTTAAAAGAAATAGGCAAAATCTTCTAGTATTTCTTATATAGAAAAAGGTATAAATATTTATAGTGATATACTCCCTTCTGTAAGAATACTGTGGTTAAGTTTTGCTTTCTCTTTTAGTGCAAGTTCCTTCCTGTCTGTTTGAATGTGAAATTGGTGTCATTTCTTCCTACAACAATTACTCTATAGTGAGCAGAGACTGACCCTCAGAGGTGGAAGAACTACTCTTTACTTAAACCTACAAGGAGTTTGTAACTTTATAAAACAGTCTAAATTTAATACTGATGCCTCTGTATGACTTACATGAGCACACAAGACCATCAGAGAGAAGATTGACTATTTCTATATAGTAGTGTATATATATCTATCTTAGTGCCTGCCACCGGTCGGTCGGATTCCCCTTGAAATCAATGAAACGAGGCAGTGTGATACTCCACTACAAGTTAAAGTCATGCATTCAAAACCTTGCTTAGGAAAAGTGTCATCAGCTAAATGTACTTAAAGTATTAAAAGTAAAAGTTTTACTATTATATATCATGTTTTTGGATTCATATTTATGCTACATTAATGTGTATGTTACATTTTACTGCTGTTAATGTTTAATGTTGAGCTCATTTTAACTACTTTAAATACTGTTGGGTATCCAAGAGGGCTTTTCAATGGTTTCGTTTTCAATCTGGGGTTGAGGGACCAACATGGGTCCTTGAGTGGGTTTTAGGCTCCAAGCAGACTGAGAAATAGAAGATTTTTATAAATTTTTTTTGGAAGTTTGAACAGGGGAAGAAATAGGGTTGGCCATGTTGATTGATTGTAATTTATAGTGATCCTAATTTGAAGACTCTCTTGAAACTTAAAACTTTTAGATGAAATCCTCTCACATTGGTCTAATGTGCATCTATTGTGTGGCTCCTTGACATGAAAATGTTTATTTAACTTAAAAGTATAAGAATCTTCTCAAATTATAAAGGAACACTTTAGTTTATCAAAAACATTCACATTCATCAAGTTTGTTGATCAAAATAAATGCTTAAATGTTATAATAAGAATTCTGATACTCATATATAGAATAGAATAGAAAATATTTTATTTATCCCCGAAGGGAAATTATAACATCATAGCAGCTGAGTTAAGAGTCAATTATTATTAAAAAGTCTTATTGCACTTGGAAGGAACGATCTCCTATATCGTTCCTTCTTGCAGCGGGGTTGTATAAGTCCAGGTACTTGTAGTTTGTTACCATGTACACATCTGTCCCATCGAACATAATACTTAATAATGTTAAGTAAATTTAACACACAAGGAAGCAAACAGGGAGCAATTTCAGACGCAGCCTCACCATTAGTTTATTAATCATCCAATGAATGACCAATAATTTTAGTTCTAGATCAATCAGGTCATCATCAGAGTCATTTATTGAGCAGAAATACCAGACTTTCAAGTGAGACAATTTGCTGCTTTTCTTTGGTTTATAAAACAAACAAATTGAATGTAAATTATGATGTACAATTTTCATTCTTCAGTAACATTTTGTAGACTAAACAATGAACCAATTAATTGGAAATATAACAGATAAATCGATCAAGAACATAAATGATCTTCCTTCCTTCATGATTGTGATGTGCTTCACTAGGATTGTTGGCATACAGTAGATAATCATACAGCTCTCTCAGCCTGGTGTTATTTTACATTATTAAGACTACAAGATATCACAAATCTCTTTATTTTTTCATTTTCATCTTCCACTTTCTTTTTAATTTCTATGTTTTAATTTCTTTGTATTTTGGTTTAAATCATATGTATTCCTTATTTAGCATATTTCATAAGAACACTTTGAATTGCCTACATGAGTACTTTAAGTGAATAAACATTAAATTGTGTTAAATTTGTTGCATTGTGATCATTTTAGCTGCTAAGTGGTTAAACTGCAGCAGCAGGGGGGTTAACAGTTTACAGTAGCAGAACTCATTTGGCAGAAGTGAATTAACCAATTAGTGCTCAGAAGGATTGCAGTGTTAATTTCTAACACTGTATCCACCTTAATGGTTGACTTTGATCCTTTTAATATAGATTTACACAGCACATTATGCTGATGTATGACACATTATGTAAATTGCACTTTTTTAGCTATATTTATCGTAATTCTACAAACTTAATAGAAATTTCTGCCCTTGATGGAATAGTCATCATACTTTTTGTGAATAGCACCTCTGCACTTTATAGGCTGTGTCAATCAAAAGTGATAGAACCAGTTTTACTGAGAGGCAAAACACACACACACAATCAAACCTCTCCCGAGTACCTTCAGTCTCCACTTATCAGAGGAAATGATTGCAGGCAGTCTCAAAGCTTCCCTCTGTGTCTCCAGGCGCTCTGAAAACACAGCAACACAAGAAACATCCGGAGCCGATAAACACAATGACCACAACACATGAGTCTGGTGGATATGATCGCTATCCTCCGCACAGCATCCCAGAGTGAGGAAAGGAGAGAAGGGATGAAGGAGTGATTACAGGAGAGGAGGAAACACGGTGTCATTTCAGTTTGGGTTTCTCTTTCCCCACTTCCTCTGGACTTCAAGTGATAACAAGAGAAACTTCATATCTCTCTTCTCTCCTTTTCTACCCTCCCCCGGTCTCCTTCTCTCTGCTCTCCTCCATTCGCCTGCTCCACTATTGATTTATTTAGTTCCTCTGAAGCTCGAAGAAGTGGACACATATGTGGGCCTGTGAGCATTACCATAGATCCCTCAGTGAGCTTATGGACACTCCTTATTCATAATAAAATCAGTCGAATATTGTACATTAGTCTAAAATTGTGAAAATTAAGTCTTTTTAATGCTTATGTACTTTTTTTCCTTTAACTTGTGGCAATTAAAAATATAAAAGATGAAGACCTGTGTATAAGAAAAAAATCCATGTAGAATAAAAGGACAATTCAAAATAATTATTAGATATTTTATAACAATATTATGTTAAATAAAAAAAAGTCTCTCGAAACTTTGAACTCAATAAATAATGTTGTTTGTTCATCTTTACTACAAAGAGCACTTTAATGTAAGATAGCCTATTATCTTTGGTTGATTAAAATATGATTAGTGACACCCCTGAATTCAATCCACATTAAATATCAATTACATTTAGAATCATGACTTTAGAGTACACAGTTTGGGGTGATAATGTGTCAAATAAATGCATTTGAAAACAAGATTTTATCACATTAAACTGTAAAAAGTCATCTTTGACTGAGACCAGTACTTTTATTTATACAGGATCGGCTTATAGGTTGTTGTTTTTTTTTTTTATCTTAAAACAGTATTCGTATGCACAAAATACACACTCCTCATTCTGTATTTTCTTGTTTTAGGACAGCAGACACATAAAGACAGACTTTAAAAAGAATTGTTTTAGTTACACAGGGTAATTAGTTTTTCTTGAATTGTACTGAATCTTGTTGCTGATAAATATCATAGCTGATTATAAATAGCACAGCCTACTCTGTTGAAAGGCTGAATGCTCAGTTACATTTATCTATGTCATAATGAAGTGACCCAGTAACCCCAATAAACAGCTCTACCAACCCACTGCACGGCCCTATTTTTAACCCTCAGAAATGTATAGCATTACACCCTCACTCAACCCTAACCATCTCTCCACTTCTTTAATCTAATGTCAGTCAATAATCTCTTACTTAATGGATGGTTTGTGGAATTTTGAAGTTCACCTCTATCTGTGTGACCCTGCACCTACCTGGCTGCCGTCCAGGTCGTCCAGGCTTTGGCCGGCAGAGGGCGCTCCGAGCCCGCTCAATCTCCCCCCATCACAGCGGAGGAGGTTCACCTCCATCCAACTGCGGTATACCCATCTGATTCCTTTAATTACTTCCTTCCTGTACTTAATTGGTGCCAATCTGTCCAACCTCAAAAACCGAGCTACATTACATGGTCAGGAGCACACACACACACACTCTTATTTCTTACTGTGGTGCATTACAGCCTACATTACCCACAAACTGCAATTAACTAGTGCGTCTTGCTCGTTGAACCCGTTCACCTGTTTCAGCCAATTCAGAGCTGTCAGAGTCTGCAGAGAGATCGAGGTAAGCTCCTGCACCTGTGAGCTTTTTGCACTGCATTGTCCAAAAACTGCTGCACAAATCGTGCAAACCTGTGCAACATGTGTGTGTGTGTGTGTGTGTTATTATTTCTGCAGACAGACGCTTGCAAATGTGTTTCTTTTTTTTTTTTGTTAAAAATGTGTGAGATTTGTACAAAAACAGGTGAATTAACCTACTTTTAGGCGGTGAATCTCACTGATTATTACAATGAGACATGCACAAACACTCACTAGATTTCATGAAGCAGTTTGAGATGTGTGGTGATATTTTAGGCGGGGTGGTAGTAAAAAAAGAAAAAAATGAATAAAAAAAACCCATCCTAATTATCTCCTACTACTACTTACATTAGTATTTTTTGCATGTCTCCCGTCAATGGGAGCTCTCCTTTACTATGACCCCTCCCACTTTTAACGAAGTAGACCCGCGTACAAAAATACAACTAAACCACCGAAATACACCGCAAAAACCCCACATTTGGAGTTTAAATCAACCTGGACGACGCGTGGAGATTATTTCACGCCACAAAAGCGGGAAACAAACCTGCGCCGCGGGACACTTTTAAGGCCGGCAAGTGTTTCGCGGGAAAAACTGCGCGGAAGGATCTAGCGGAAGAGTAAAGTGGTGCTGCGGAGTTTTTATTGCAGCCAAGCGCAGCTCAGCTGTGATTCTCACGCTGCTGATGACAGACTGCACGTCGCAGCCTCTCTCTCTCTCGACTCCCCCTCCTTCCACCAAATGCATGCTTCACACAGCCTCACTGAGACCGACTGCAACACCTCCGTGGAAGGATTTAATGCGTCTTTCGCGTTGGACTAACTTTCCTGCTGTCTTTTTTTTATATAAACACATACATTTGCGCCTTTTGGGTGGATTTCGCCTTCGTCTTCTTCCGCCGGCTGTTTAAAGATCTAAGGTAAGGGAGGGTAGCGGGGTTTTTTTTGGAGCTTGCATGCCAGCTTTAGTAAAAAAAATACTAGTTTTAAAAAAAGGAGGTGTTAGCTGTCGTTTAGTAAAGGTGTGTGTGTGTGGGGGGGGGGGCTTACTTGCACTATTTCCTACTAGTTTTCCCAGTTGAGCACCTGCTGCTGCAGCATTGGTGCGTGCATGCTAGGCGTGCACGCAGGGGGTTGATGTTTTGGTGACCATGTGATGTTGCTTACACTTGATGTTGCAGGAGCTGTGCCAAGCAGCTGCTCTCTGCTCTTGAACCTGCGGACTTTTTCTTTCGTCTTTTCTTTGTAATAAACAGATCAAACATCTAATCAGACCTTTTTGTTTTGTTTTTTTGTCAACCCCAGCTTCACCATAAGGATAAAGATCACAGAGACATCATGCCGCTGAATTCAAGTTTGGCGAGTAAAAACTATGACTACGACTACGACTCCCTTCAGCCGTATTTCTACTATGACAACGAGGAGGAGGACTTCTACCCTCAGCAGCTTCAGCCTCCAGCGCCGAGCGAAGACATCTGGAAGAAATTTGAGCTGCTGCCGACCCCTCCCCTCTCCCCGAGCCGCCGGCCGTCCCTGTCAAGCCTCTTCCCCTCCACGGCGGATCAGCTGGAGATGGTGACCGAGTTCCTGGGCGACGACGTGGTCAACCAGAGCATCATCTGCGACGCGGACTACTCCCAGACCTTCCTCAAGTCCATCATCATCCAGGACGCGGCTTCTCCGCCGCGGCCAAGCTGGGAGAAGGTGGTCCGAGCGAGCTCCCTCCCTGCACGCCGCAGGAAGGAGTCGTTCGTCGTCGGCGGTGTCCGGCGGGCGGACTGCGCGGGAGCCCGCCGGGTTGCAGCAGCGTGGAGGCTGAACAGCACGTCTAGCCTTGCATGCATATTGGAAGCACTACCGACAAAGTCGGAGATGCTTATGTGATACCATCCGTGGTGTTCCACATACCCTAGATAGCGGAGAGGCCGCTTCCAGCATGCACTAGAGCGCAGGGACGCCACCTAGTAATGAACTTGGGGGCTATGGGACAGCGAGCCGTTGCACACAGCGAGAGGACAGCATGCAGCAGCAGAAGCAGTAAGATGACTCAGAGTAAAGCTGAGTGTGTCCTGTCGTGTCTCACTAGCACAGTCTACACCCCCCTTCCCCCCCTACCTCCCTTCCCTTACCTCTTCCCTCTCCCTCTCTGTGCAAGGATTAGAAATTTCCCCCCCTTTCTTCAGCTGAGTGCCGGTCAAGGATTTGTCTGCACGTTTTTCTGAATCAACAGCCCAGGTTACAACTCTCGGCTATATCTGTTGTAATTCAGCTTTTGATGCTTGGTGCATGAGCCAGGATGGGGAGAGATGGAGAGGAGGGAGAGGAGGCGACGAGGGTTGACACAACTCGAGGGGATGCTCAATCGTTCTCCATCCGTTGTCACGCCTTCACATGTGAGCCCGCTCGGAGGGCTAATGTTGCTATGCACCTGCAATTGTGGCACCAGCAGCATGGCCGTTACGCCCCCTCCCTCCCTCACTCCCGCCGGCGTGCCACTTGTTCGTGGGAACGCACGTCCCACCCCCCGCTGCTGATAATCAGTGTAGAGAATATCCAGATATGTGCGTGATTTTTTTCTTTATGTCTGTCGCTTTGCAGTAAGAAGGAACCACTTATCCTTTCCTCCCTGGCATGTCACCCCTTGATTGCGATCGCACCCGAGCGGGTAGCGTAGGGTAAGTGGAAAAAAAGAAACAGCGCGAGATGAGAGGAGAACCCATGAAAGAAGATGACGACGCAATACTATGGATGTGCAAGAATTGCTAGAACTCCTTCTCCTCAGAGGCACCAACATCGGTGGTGAGAGTACGATGGTACACACGGTTACAGCAACACACGGGTGACGCCACCAAGCCCGTCTCAGCATACGACAGGCTATTCCTCCAGCTCTCTACCGTCAGTGACAGACACTCAGCATGGCTGCTCAATCTGAACCCACCAATGCACAATTATACCGCTCGAGCACATCTCATCACATTTAGAGGCGAGCAAGCCGGCGGCTACAACTTCGAGCTGAATGCTATGGAGCAGCTAGCAGCGGCAGCTAGCGAGCACAGCAGCAGCAGCAGCGGAGGAGGCGGCGGCGGCGGCGGCGGCCACAGCAGGGTCCTCAAACAGATCAGCAGCAACCGCAAGTGTTCAAGCCCCCGGACGTCTGACACGGAGGACTATGACAAGAGAAGGACTCATAACGTACTGGAGCGCCAGAGGAGGAACGAGCTCAAGTTGAGCTTCTTCGCCCTGCGGGACGAGATCCCCGAGGTGGCCAACAACGAGAAGGCGGCCAAGGTGGTGATTCTGAAGAAGGCGACAGAGTGCATCTACAGCATGCAGTCAGACGAACAGAGACTCCTCTCGGTCAAAGAACAGCTGAGGAGGAGAAGTGAACTTTTAAAGCAGAGACTCTCACAGCTTCAGGGATCTCGTGCTTAAAAGTTTGAATCATAATAAGACTTTTTTGGCCTTTTGTTTTTTATGCAAGTTCAAGACTTGGGATGTACAGTTGTTGTTGTTGCATGCAAATGCAAAAAAATGGATTCAGTTGTTTGGAATCTTGTTTGATTTCAATGTTAAAACTGCCTCAATTGAAGTTATGGGTGGATTAAATATTTAAAAGTTTATTTTTATTAATAAAATATTAAAAAAATGGGGCTGCAATGTTGAGAGCCCAAACTAAAATATAAATTTTTATGTTTTGTATATACTTAATATTTCCTAAGAAAATGTATTTTTCGATCACAATTGTCTGGATGTTCAGACCCAGTGTTTGCTTTTTTCATTATGTTCCTAGATTCTTTTTGAAATATAAAAACAATGTTTCTTCTTGAATTTGTGTCCTTGTTCTTGCAACAAAAAACAACACTTCTCACACACTTCATCAGTTCCTTTTACGAGTAAACGTGCATCAGTATGTGCTGCAGCAGAGGAGACGAGCCACATGAATCATTGCATAACTTGTAAAGAAAAGTGCCTGACGTGGACGAAGATGTTCATGTTTGGGTGTGGTGATGACACTCTTCTCACTCTGACTGCTGAAGGTAAAATATGAAGTACACAATGGGTTGAAATGACTATTGTTCTCACTTGATGTCACTTTCGATGCTGCCCTAGTGCTTGGTCATAAAGAAGACAAGGTAAGCTCAGACCATGATCTCTGATTTCTGTAAAGAAGCACTTAAACTGGCACTATTGAACTTTTTTTTTACCTAAGTAAGACCTTAAGATACTAGTACTACTGATGCGAAGGTAAACAGATTCCATTAAAGTGTCACAATCATCCTTATATCTGTTTTGTGGACAAAGGAGTGAGTTCAGCTATTGGAATTTGGCTTGTTCAACCTTTATTATGAAGCAGAAATAAACAGTTCATGCACACACATTGATTTCCTCCATGATCTTCTTCACCGAACCCTGAAAGCTGCTTCAAATCCCTTATATGGTCAAACATACTTGAGCAATGACGCTGATTCTGATGAAATAATCACTTAATGTAATGTCTCAGATTAGATTTAAAGCTGCATGAAAACAAAACTGGATGTTTTACATCTATTTGTGCTGGTACTTTGGCATATGCAGACTATTAAAACAGTTTTTCCCCTACTACAAATGAGGATATTACCCAATACAACGGTAAAGTGTGAACCTTCATGTTATAATTAAAGAAAATGTGTCAACAATAACAAATAAAAACACTCTAAATAACATCCCCGCTGAGTCCCACATCTCTACACTGTATATTCTGTCACATAGCGTTAAACACCTCTATTATTATTATTATTATCATTATTATTATTATTACATTGAACTGATTTTTTTTCCATGTCTCGCCGTGACGTCACGCGCCGTATCCCGAGCCCGAGCGCTCCCCTGAGCGCGTGGTCCCGGTCGCGAGCACATGGAAGTGAGGTCGAGATTTTGTGTCCGTGAGACAACGCGACTGATCATCATGTGGGTGGAAGAGAGAAAAAAGGGAATATAAAAAAGCGATAAAGCAGCGACGGAGACAGAGAGAACAGCGCGGTAAGGAGCTCTCTACATTGTCTAATATCGGTTGCATTGATCAGTGTTTAACTCTTTAATCACACTGATCAATTAGGCCTGGTGGTGTTGGAGAGAGGGAAATCTCTAGTATCTCTCAGTGTGTCTCATGAGAACTTCATTTGAAAGGGTTTATTAGTTGGTGTGGTTGAATGTGATAGTGGATATAAGAAGCTGTCGTGGTGCAACCTGTCTGAAACTATTGTTCTCAGGTTAAGTGTTATTCTGTCTGGCTCCTCTATTGTCTGATAGTGCTGCACAGTTCAGAGCTGGAGGTGTTTACAGCGCCTGTTTTCTGTTAGTCTGTTGTTGTTCTTCCACACTGGTGAAGATGCTTACTTTATGCTCTGTGTAGCTTTATTCTCCATGGACTACAAAGTCTAGTGCTGCTTTAAAGTGTTGTCTTATCTCTGCTGTCAGTGCTTTGGATCACAACAACACATGATTATAAAAAGGAAACCTGTGATAGCATCAGGTACTGCTCACGCGCCCCCTGTTTTATGCATTATGTGGAGCTTTATGCAGAATAAATGTATATTTGTGAGCAGCAGTTGAGCATAGATGTTGGAGCAGCATGTCTGAGACATGAGGTACAGCAACACTGAGACGTGGGGAGGACCACAAAAGATGGGATTAGTGTGGATTCATTGGGACTTTCTGGGTGGGCAGGACGGGGCATTGTGAGCAGAGGGGGGAGAGTGTGCTGGGACTGGCTGAACTGGGTTCAAGCCTCCATGACAACATGCATCCACCCTGCTGAAGTTGTGTCCAGAAACCCCCTGAGGTGAATCCCCTGTACGGAGAAGGTGCTCTGATACTCTGATACTCTATTTAATGTTCAAACTGGGCTCAATGTGAGTGAAAAGTGAATCTTTTTCACACGTGTTGGTTACAAATTACCATGGTTTTACACCACATTGCTGTGGTTACATCTCCCTGTGTAGTTAGTAAGTTCACCAGGTTTTAAGCCTGTAAATGTCACCTGCAAAAACACCCACAAAGATAATGCTCAGTGGATGGAGTAATCATCAACAGCCTTTCTTTTATTATTATTTTTTTTTGTTTGGCAAAATGACCCACAGTTTTGTATAGATTATCTATTGCAAACGCTCCACAACACTTGTCAGCTGCTCCTGTTTAATAATTACTTGAATCGAGCTTCACTACTGTAAGCACATGGATGAAAAGAAATATCATCTGCTGCTTGATAAAAGTTATTTTTAACCTGTTTTCTAACTTACGCACACTCTGTTTTTCATTTGTCTTGGGGAAACGGGATAAAAAACGTGCAGCTGATGTAATCTTTTTGGTCGGACGGTTTTATCCAGATTCAAACACAGCCACTTAATATCTTTAAGATAAGACTCAAATGACTCAAATGTAATGTAATGTGAATGCTGAAGTGAGAGGGCACAAAATGGGGCTGAAACCAGCTGTTCACTATCAGAAATCAAAGAAAATCTAAGTAAATCGGTTCAACATAATAATAATCATACAGGTATTTAACTGTATATGACATAATGTACAGCGTATAGATGTGGGACTCAACTGGGAGGTTATTTAGAGTGTTTTAATTTGTTATTATTGACACATTTTCTTTAATAATCCCATGAAGGTTTAAACTTTATCGTCAGTGAATCTGGTGAGGAATCTGACAAATCATTAAAAGTAGTTTAAAAAAAGGACGATCACAGTTTCCCAGAGCTCAAGATGAGGATATCAGATGTCTTATTTTGTCCGACCCAGTCCAAAACATCAAAGATAATTGACGTTGCATTTGGATTAAACAGAGACAAGAAGAACATTTTCAACTATAAAATGCTGGAAAGACAAATATTGGGCTCTTTTGCTAAAAAATGCATTAATCTTGATGAAGAGTCAGTTTGGGCTCTAAATGTTGTACTTATTTAATGGAAAAAGACATATATAATGACGTGAAATTGCTGAATACATCCATAGATATTTGGGTAAAAGGGTAATCTATGGTTACATCAGCTCTCCGCTTGCCTGATACTCCTCACTGGAGTGGTGTTGCAGTAAATGTTGTGTACGTTAGAGTGTATCTTAGAGATCTGTGTGTGTGTGTGTGTGTGTGTGTGTGTGTGTGTGTGTGTGTGTGTGTTGTGTTTTCCAGGCAAACTTCACTGCCTCGCCACAACGACTGCCACACATACTTCTCAGATACTTCGAGGCCCAGGAATACATTGGAGGTCTGCCGTTATGTAATCTGTGTTTTTTTTCAGAGCTGGAAACTGGAATAGATTAAAAGCAGTTCATACTCCTGAAGTCAGAGCTGTACTGTAGCGCTGGCCAACAGACTTCTTCTCCTCTCTCTCTCTCTCTCTCTCTCTCTCTCTCTCTCTTCTCTCTCTCTCTCTTCTCTTCTCTCTCTCTGGCTGCGTCTCGTTTTCAGCATCATTATTATCGAGTGACATCACTTTCCTCTTTGGAATACGCTGCCTCATTTGCATGCTCTGTGTCTGAGCTCTTCGAGTCTCTGAGCTGTGTCAGTGTGTTTTTACTGGCGGTGACGACCTGCGTTTGGCCGCCAGCTTTTTTTTTTCTTTTTTTTTCCCTTGCACAGTGATTTTAGTGTGAGACGTTTGACACCACGTGAGAGAGTATTTAGGAATATGTTGCTAAGGAATGTGACATGTAACTCCACTGCATATACTTAACGTCACGGTGAAAGATGAATACTCATTTTTGTGTGTAAGGGAACACTGATTTTTCCATTTTTATAGAAGTAGTTAAAGGTCCAGTGTGTAACATTTAGGAGGATCTATCATTAGAATGAAATATATAATTCATAAGGTTTGTTTTTTATTAGTGGAAAATCACCTGAAAATAAGAATCGTTGTGTTTTTGTTACCTTAAATTGAGCCATGTTTCTACAGTAGCCCAGAACGGACAAACCAAACACTGGCTCTAGAAAGAGCCTTTCGCATTGTTTGCGTTAGTTTCGTGGCCATCATAGTTTCTCCTATTCTAATACGGACGCGAGCAGTGTTCAGTTAGTTGCATTCCCAAACCAGTCCAATCTCCTGTCGTGTGCCACCTGTGTGAAAGGAAAATGTCCGGAGAATCACATGAGGAAAGGCCTCCAGTGTTGTGTTGGTCTCAGATAATATAAAGCAGGAGCGTTATGCTAGCGTTTGGATCCAGTTGTGATGACAGCAAATGACCAGACTGTGAAAACTCAAAGCAACGTTGTCCTGTCCCCTCGTCTGGATTCACATGAACACACACGTGGCTGAAATCACAAATGGGACTGAGCAACAGCTAATGACCTTGACACATTTAAGCTAGCTCACTGCTTTAAAAAGGAAAATGGTCTCATTATTATCTTAATAGGACGCTTTCTAATTTTGTTAAAAGCAAATTAAGGCTACAAATCATCATTTTAACCTTGTAGGCGGTAGGGAATAGTCGTACATTCATTGTTGTTCGCAGCTAATGCCCTCGAGATCAGTATCTGACTCAAATGTTAATTTCTTAGATTTAAATAAGTAAGTAGGCCTTTGTACTGTATGGAGCCTCAGAGAGAGACCATTTGGAGCCGTGCTGTGGGGCGCTCGCAGCAATGTCTGGCTGTTACGTAACAGTATTGGTCCCTCTGGTGAATGATTTCATTGGCATGCTTTTAAAATAAACATTTTGATAAAGAAAGCTTAATTTACGTGCACCCTTTAATCTCATAGAAAGTCTTTTTTTAAAGGTAATACTGTATCTGGTCAGCCCTTTTTTCTCTGCTTGCATGCAGGGGACATCAGTGCATACGGAGAGCATTG